GAGTCGAGTACACGCTAGTGACGCAAAATTTGGTGAAAAAGCAACAGCTTGGGCAATTGCTAACGCTATGAAAATGAAAACAAAGATGGGAATGGGTTTAAAATCAAAAAAGAATAAATCTAAGAATAAGAAGAAAAGAAAAAATAAAGCAACACATCCATTAAGAAATATTGTACTAGCAGCAAAAAAATCTATTGTTCCTGGTAATGATACCTCATCAGCTATTAAGTCAGCTCTAAAAGGGGCACGAATAGCTGTGAAAATCGCAGGTGGAAAAAACAAAGTGAAGCAACCTCGAATTTTACCAGTACCAAAAAAAGTTGGTGGTTTTTTACCATTTCTTGTGCCGATTTTCGCTGGTCTCAGTGCAGTAGGGGCTCTATCTGGTGGAGCTGCTGGAATTGCAAAAGCAGTTAATGATGCAAAAGCAGCGAAAAAACAACTTGAAGAAAGTCAACGACATAATCAAACAATGGAGTCCATTGCTCTTGGTAAAGGGCTTTTTTTAAGCCATACAAACAAGGATTGGGATTAGAATGTTCTGCTAAAAAAAAAGCAAAAAAAAATGTAAAATTACCACAACGAGCATTGACTAATTACGATTTACTTAAATATGCTAAATTGTTAAAAATTCCTAACTTTCGAGGAGTTTTATGCGTGATGATTTACCATTTATGGGACCATGTAAGAATGAAACAGCTATAGTTAATTTAGATAATAAAATAGTGCTGGCACACATTGGGTTGCCTATAAAAAAAATAAAGAATGATGTTATATATTTTGATAGTTTTGGAAACCTTCGACCACCTACGGATCTTGTAAAATATCTCAGTGTTGATAATATCAAATATAATCATAAAAGATATCAAAATTATGACTCTTTTGTTTGTGGTCATTTATGTTTAAAATTTCTCTGTAATCAACTTGAGTTAAAAAATGTATTTTCCCTGTTTAAATAAAGACTAGTAAAATTTTAAATCTCAGTTTACATTGAACCCTCAAAATGAACGATTCATTAACCTTAACATTGTCTGGAAATTCTTCAATTTTGGAAGCACACTATTTTCCACCAATTGAATTGACTCCAAATAAAAATTATGTTCTTGGACTTGTTGAATTTCTAACCTTTAATTCGATTCCAAATGTAGAAATAATAAATTTTACGTCGGTGATGAAGAAATCACTATACCGACAGGTAGCTACGAAATTGATGATATTCAACGCTATCTACAGCATGTTTTAAAACCAAAAGGAATTAATCTTCACATTAAACCAAATAACAACACATTGAGGAGTGAAATTTTGTGCAATAGTGACATTAATTTTAAAAAATCAAATTCTATTGCACAATTATTAGGCTTTAGGCAACAAATACTGAAAGCTGACATATTCCATCAATCTGATTTACCAGTGTCTATTATAAAGCTGAATTCATTAAGAATTGAATGTAATATTACAACAGGTGCATATATTAATCATAAAAAGGTGCACACAATTCACGAATTTTTTCCCACTGTACCACCAGGATATAAGATAATTGAAGTACCCTCTCAAGTCATTTACTTACCAGTTGCTGTCAAGACAATAGATCATATTCAATTCCAAATCATTGATCAAGATGGGCATATTGTGAATTTTCGTGGTGAAACTATTACTATAAGATTACACATTAAGAGGTTGTAAAATAGAAGAATAAAATTATGGGTATTGTATTTAATCAAAAAGTTGGCTTTGGTTATTATATTAATAATAATAACTCTGTAGGATGTCAAAAAAGATTCAGTTACAAATCTTCAGTCAAGGTGTTAACACCGCAGAACATTCAACTATTGAAGAGTCTAGGATTAAAAGTGATAGAGCAGAAAAAGCAAAAAAGAAGGTGAAAATAAAAAGATTTAAATTTGTATGCATTTGCTTTGTTGGTTTCATCTATAGACAACTAATATTCTGTAAAAAATAAAAAAAATGGAGGACGACTTGCTAAGTATTGCAAAACCAATTGTTTATGATGAATCCATTGCTCATTATGAAGTCCATGCTCATTTACCATATGCTTCATCAACATTCAATAATAGTGATGAAATTCGAATTGCTGTTCATAATCAAGACCACTGTCTTCTACCAGGAAAAAGCTCACTTCATATACAAGGAAAATTAACAAAAGAAAATGGGACACCAGTCACCAATACTAGGCTTATCATGAACGCCATCTGTCATTTTTTTGAGGAAGCTCGTTATGAGCTAAATGCTGTGGAAATTGATAAAAACAAAAATGTCGGTCTTACGAGTCTCATGAAAAATTACATTTCAATTTATGGTACTCAAAGTAAATTTTTAGAAAATGCAGGTTGGTTTCCCACATGCGATGCAAATACTCCATTAGCTGATAATAATGGTAATTTTGATATTTCAATTCCACTAAGCGTTATTTTTGGTTTTGCTGAGGATTATCAAAAAATTATTGTAAACGCGAGACATGAATTAATTTTAACAAGATCGAGAAATGATGTTAATGCAATTTTGCAAACTGCTGAGGAACTTGTGAAAATTTCCATTGATAAAATTGAATGGTTGTTACCTAATGTACGCTTATCTGATGCACGAAAATTCAAATTGCTAAAATACATTGAAAAAGATCCACTAATTCCAATTAGTTTTCGAACCTGGGAATTATATGAATATCCTCTGCTACCAACAACTGCGAATCATGTGTGGACTGTTAAAACATCAACGCAATTAGAAAAACCTCGTTTTGTAATTCTAGGCTTTTAAACAAACCGAAAAAATGTAACAACGCGAAATGCTAGTCACTTTGATCATTGTAGAATTACAAATGTTAAATTATTTTTAAACAATCAGTGCTATCCATATGGTAATCTTAACCTTGATTTAGATAAGAAACATTATGCTGTACTGTATGAAATGTATACAAACTTTCAAGCTAGTTACTATGATAAAGAATGTCAACCATATTTAACGAAAGGTGAATTTCTCGATTTTGCACCATTAATAGTAATTGACTGTTCAAAGCAAAATGAATCTCTAAAATACGGCCCTGTTGACAATCGACTTGAATTTGAAGCGAAAGAAAATTTTCCTAATCAAACTTCTGCATATTGTCTCATTTTGCATGACAGAGTAGTAGAGTACAGACCAATCAGTGGTGGAGTAAAAAAAATCATTTAAAAATTACTAAAAAAGGTAAAAAAAAATTACTAAAGACAATATTACTAAAAAATGAAGAATATAAATAATCCTACTTTTGTCTTATTAATTCAGTAACAGTCAAGATGGATTATGTAGTAGACCTTCAAGGTTTTAAATCACCTACAAATCAATTTATTTTAAAAGAATTGGCTATAACACCGCTTGAAGAGAACATAACCAAACCCTTTAATTTTCTCTTTCAATCACCATATAAATGGATATATATGAAACCACAATACCAAAATATTAACCGTTGGTTGGAAAAAAATTTTCATTGTCTATATTGGAATGATGGTGATATTCCTTTCGATTTATTACCAACTATTTTAAATAAAACATTAAAAAATGCACGTACAATTTATGTAAAAGGCCTAGAGAAGAAGAAATGGTTACAAGATTTATGCACTGCGAAATGTAAAATAAACATTGTTGATATGGCGGACTTGAGCTGTCCATCTCTTCGACAATTAGTTTTTTTATCAGACAATATGATACCATGTAAACATCATCATTATCATAATCGATGCATTGACCTGAGAAACGTAAATTGTTCTGTACGTAATGTGATTATGTTAAATGATTGGTTATTTAAAAATGTATTAAAAAAGAAAAATGAGTCCGAGACAAACGATTTTTGGATCTCTATGAGTTACAAAAAAATCACAGCAATTTAATTCTATCCGTCGCTTGTAGTTATTTTATTGTAGTGTGTGTGTAAATTTTTTTTGTAATATAAAACTGCTTTATAATTATTCTGATTAACATTTTATTAGATGGTAAGATTTTTTTTAAGACAAAATGTATTTTTTTTTTAATTAAGAGAAAGAAAGAAGAAAATTTACTTTCCTTGCGTACTTAAATATATACATAACATAATTACTATTAATTTAAATAATTTTCTAATTTTTTAAAATAAATACTTGAAAAAATGTAAAATTTATATGTATTTTTTATTCTATTACCTTAACCAAAAAAAATGAAAAAAATTTGAAAAGAAATGGTGAAAATATAAAGGTTTTAAAAGCTCAATGCAGTTTGTAGGTACTCAGAAGTGGTGATGAGCGGGCAGGGTGACTGCAGGTGGTGAGGAAGCGGGGGACGAACGTAAGAGGCAAAGCATTGCCTTGAGAGGAGAGTGGAGTGACGGGGTGGTCAAAGAAGCTGAGGAAGCGAAGGACGGACGAAGAGAGTCAAAGATATTAATTTATTAGCTGAAATTTTTTTCTTATTAACATTTTTTTACAAATTTAATTTAAAAAGAAAAATTTATATCCACTTACCTTGAATGAAATGTGAATTAGTAGTCATGTTAAATAATGTTTTTTTTAAATTTAAGTAGATTTGTTATTATTATTATTTATCTATAATTTGTAGTATAAATTTTTTTTAATATAAATAGATTTTTCTTTTAATTTTTTCTAATTTAAAAAGGATTAAGATCACGCATAATATTAAATTGGGTAAATGGAAAACAAAAATTTTGAAACATTAAGAAAAAGATGATTTAAAACAAATTATCAGATTTATCTGTAAAAATTATAAATAACAAAAGTTATTTAGAAATTTTACATATAAATTCTAATTATTTGTTGAATTATTATCATCATCTTTTTCTGATAAAATTTTTTGTTACAATTTGTTTTTTTTTTTTTGCACAATTTTACAATTTTTGCACAATTTTACAATTTTTGACATTTTTTAATTTGTAAAAAGAAATTTTTTTTTAAGATCAAACATTTAATGAAATTTTTTTAAAAGAAAGACATAATGCCAACTAATAAGAATTAATTTTTTCAAAACTGTAAACGCCGCCGACAAAGACTAATTTTGCAGTTATGTCTGCAAGTACAGTGACAACATTTACTGTTGATCCTTCTGCATGAAAGCATTTCAGTGGCATGGTACACCTCAATAGCGTTAAGACACAGCGTCATCAGCGAATCATAGGTAACTTCTAGGACCCACTCTATGGGTACAGATATCTCGTAGTTAATCATGACGTACTCCATGCTGTAAATATAAAAAAACAGATCTAAGACAAAAATTATATTTTTTCTTTAATTTCATAAAAAAAAATCATTTTTACACTAATCTTTTAAAAAATAATTATTTTTTAAAAGATTAGTGTAAAAATGAATTGAAAAAATATTTTAATTTAAAACTTACTCTGTATCATGGAGAGGACTGTAATTAATTGGTTCGTCTCCAGCCATCTTCTTCTTCTTTTTTTCTTTTTCTTGTTGTACCTAAGCATAAAAAATTTATTGAAAAATACAATTCAATTTTAAATTACTTTTCCTTTATGATTATTCTTGCGTCACACAGTTATAGAGAAAACACTATTTTGACAATTAAGTACTTAAATTATAGCAAAAAAATTCATATCTCACTATTTTGATAAATTTGTTTGAGATTGATATTAGCTGATCTCACCTTTGTACTTTTGTAAAAGAGATGAATATTCTTCATTTATGTACAAAAATACAAAGGTGATATCAGCAAAACATCAATCTATCTAAAAAGTAGTAAAACATCTTTAATTTTTTTGTAATACTTTAAGTATTTAGTTGTAAAGCAAATAGATTTTTCTATAACACAGAATCAAGTATAATCAAAATTTTTTTTTTTTTAGAAAAAGTAATTAAATTGGATTGTATTTTAATAAATTTTTATGCTTACTGGAATAAGTTTTGTATCTTCTTCTTCTTCTTCTTCTTCTTCTCCTTCTTCTTCTTCTTCTTTTTCGCTTTTCACCACCACCACAGACACCAACACTGATAAATTCCTAAGCATAAGATTTGTTAAAAAAATACAATTCAACTTTATTTATTGTTTCTAAAATAATTAATATTATGTCACAGTTATATGTAAACAATTAAAACTAAATTTATTCATTGAATATTTAAAATTGGTCGAAAGCAACATCGACTCTGCGCATTCAAATATGCACCTTTCTTGGTGAGCTCTATTTAAAAGCGCAGAGTCGATGCTGCAGACAAACAATTTATAAAAAAATTATTTTTAATTGTTTCCGTATTAATGAGGCACACTATTAATTATTGTTGAATATCACTAAATTAATTTAACCGAATTCTTAACTAATCTTATGCTTACACTTTACTTTTGAGACTTTTTTCTTCTTCTTCCTACAAGATCTTCCTTCAAACTGGAGTACCAAAATGAGAGAAGTAGGGCTCATTTGACTAAGTGGGGATTATACCCCCAAAAAAGCTTTTGTATTGTTTCAATCTTTGATGAATGAAAACCAAGTCGAGAAAATTCTACGTAGAATTTCACAGAAATATATTGAAGAAGTAGGGATTGTAATTAACGCTTTAAAGTTATGGGAATTGTGTGAGTTTTAATCAAATTTTGATGGAAATTTAGAGAATGCTTATAGTCATTAAATGTTATTGTTTTTAGTGTACTTTTTTTTACACCTTTAGCTTTCTTATTTTCCGAATTCAATTGAAAAATTTTAAATGCATACAATTTTGAACGTAAACCTATAAATTCTTCAATAATTTTTCCACAACATTCATCTTTCATTAAACCTAAAACTTTTTTATTACAGAGTGGTAGACCGTAAACATTATTTGGTGGATAGTCAGAGGTGTCAAATTTCTCAATATTTTGCTTCATACATTGATAGAAATCAGGAACTTGAATTTCATATATCAAACTGTCAGTATCAGTGTAAAGCAATTTTACCTTATCACCAAAATTTTTTTTATGTAATTATAATGAAAATCGTATGTAATAATTTTTGAAATATCTAAAACAGTTAAACCTGCATATATTGGTTTATTAAACGTAATTTTCAATTTATTCATTTCAATAATAACCATATCTTCATCAAATACGGTGCAACTATGAAAATTTGGTTTACCAATGAGTGATCTCGCACCATAACGCCCTTCCCATTTTGTAACCAAACGAACATCTTCATATTTTCGAACATTTTCCATAGTTTTACCAAAAACTGAATTATTCATTAATTTATAAAAATTTTTTTCAAACTCGTTAGTGGATTTTTTTCTCATTTCAGTGTTTAAATCAATGTAACTCTTTAACCAAGGCTTTTGTTTAAATTGAAGAACTCTATGAATTTTTACTAATTTCATACCTAAATCCAAGTATAATTTTAAATTTCTATAGTGTAAAATGTACTGCTTTTTATGATGAAGAGTTGTCATTAATTTCGGAATTTTACACTTTGAATTGGGTGGTACAAAGTGTTGTGGACAAAGAGGTAAATCCTTATGTAAATCATGTAATTCAACAGGATATTCTAAATCAACTTCAAGAATATATCCAATTAATGACTCATCAGATATATTTTTAAAATCGATTTTTGAAAAATCCTGTACCCATATAAATTCTTTATAAGGTAAAAATTCACTCATAGCTGCACCGTATTGATTACACAGGCCTGCATCATTTCGGGATAATGAATGCGACTAGGTGTTTCCGAAGGCAAATTTTGCTCTGAACATGAATCCGAGGTCCAAAATGCTCCATCACGTCAAGTTTTTGAAAAAAATGGGGTTGAAACCCCTAAAACAGCGTTTTTGGCACTTTTTGAAAAATTGTGGGGCAAAATCCTGACGTGATAAAAATTTCGCTATTATCAGAAATTAAAGCTTAATTCATGCCCTTTTAAATGAGCCCTTAGCCGATTAATATCCTTCAACCCTTAAAGCAGGGGGTGTGTTTTTGTCCAGGGGTGCGAAAACTTTAAAATACTGTACAAAAAAAATTATTTAAGGGATTTTTTAGGGGTTGTGAATGGAGAAAAATTTTGAAGCTAAAGGTTTAAGTACACGGCTACCCCTAAAAAAACCTTAAATAATTTTCTTTGTATATGTATTTTAAAGTTTTTGCACCCTTGGACAAAAACACACCCCCTGCTTTAAGGGTTGAAGGATATTAATCGGCTGAGGGCTCATTTGAAAGGGCATGAATTAAGCTTTAATTTCTGATAAAAGCGAAATTTTTATCACGTCAGGATTTTGCCCCACAATTTTTCAAAAAGTGACAAAAACGCTGTTTTTAGGGGGTTTCAACCCCATTTTTGTCAAAAACTTGACGTGATGGACCATTTTGGACCTCGGATTTGTGTTCAGGGCAAAATTTGCCTTCGGAAACACTTTGTCGCATTCATTATACCAAAAAAAAGTTTTATTTTGCAGGCCTGTGTTATTAATATCAAAGTACATAATGTATTTTTCTGGTAAATTTTTATCATATTTTTCCCCCATATACCTGTTGTTAGCTTTTGAATATCTATTTGAACATTGTGATACTCCACCCCTAATTCCAGATTCAATAAATAGCAACATTTCAGGATCTGTTAATAGTTCAAGTTTTATATCTGTCAATTTTAACATGGTGACAAAAGCAAGTCCCGGTGCAGTGTAGTAATGCAAAGGATCTAATTTATAAGTGGAAATGCATGTTTTTCTAAAATTTTCAAAAATATCGGCAAGAAGAAATGACTGTTTCGGAGGAAGACATTCTTCATCCAATCGTGCCCATGAATCAATGTATTCGTATGGGAATACACCTTTTCTTATTAACAATTTAAATTGTGCATCGTCTGTACAATGCTTTTTTGTAATTTCTTTTTCATTGTCAGTTAAATAGGATGCTAATTTCTCTAAACTACTTGCCATAAAACGAAACGAGTCAATAAATCGATATTTAATTTTAGTCTTATCCACATCTTTTGTGAATGAAAGGTATTTTTCTTTATTTATAGGCAATAAACTGATATTTCCATCAAAACCAGTTGCAAGAGCTCTTATAAAAAAATGTGAATCATAACCTGATAAATTGTGAAAAACAACGGGAATAATGTGAGAATATTTAAAACTTACATTGCAGCCTTGATGAGCAGGACCGCGATATCTGCCTGTAAAATGACAATGATCATGATGTTTAATGTCATTTATTTCAAATGGTTTTTCGCAAATGTGACATAATTTAGCAGTTTCAAAGTCTTGCATTTGTTGTTGGGTCAATTGCTCCATTGGGACAATATTTGAAAAAAATACTCTATTTATATTACTCGCCATATTCTGTAATTCATTAATAAACCACTGTATACAGTCCTTACCACGATAAAGATTTGTATGTGAGAGTGACTCATCAAAGCTGCACTGCATGGTATAAGCTACGCTTGTAGGCACGTGCCTTTGAACGTTGCATGTGTTTTCGTCTGTCTCTGCAATAGGCTCTAAAAGGCATTCTGTATCGGCATATATTACGAACGGAACCTTATCTTTAAAACGATAATTTTTAAATTGGACAGTATTATTATTCTCATCGGGTAAAATTACTTTACACTTATTCGTATTCTCACACGCTGATCTATGTCTTGTATATGAGTTATTGTCAAAAAAACGACAAAGGCAGCGATCACATAATAACAAACTTTGTTTCTTTTTAGTTACCTGTGATCTTACTAAGCGGGAAAGATTCTTTATTAAAGCAAAATGGTATATTAGTTTCAAATTATCATTTTCGTTTTCATTAATTTTATTAGTCTCTATCATTAGTAAATTTACTACAGGATTATTTTCTTTTTCTTTACTTACATAAATAGGAACAATATCAGTATATTTATGTTTTTTATCAAAGTCATCTAATCCATAAATATTTATTTTTAAATTATTATTATTATTATTATTATTTCTACCAATACACAATCTCTGACTTTATTTTTATACCAATCATCTAAATCTGTTGTTGGAAAAATAATTGAATTTCTCGTACTAAAATACTTTATTTCATTAATCATTTCCCCTTGTTTTAAAGTTTCAAATCTACCGTAAAAAATAACGTTTACTTTCAAATTTGCATGCTCTGTTAAACTTTCTTTTACATTATTAATCGTTAATAATTTTGAATCCTCTAAAAAATTATTTAAATCTTTATGTCTTAAATTCACTATCGAACCTGTTTTCACACGACCATCAAAAGTATTTTCCAAGTTTTCCCACCTGATTCGATTATTCTCTTCTTGATTTCCAGCTGATAAACGACCACCACTTTTTATATACAAATGGTGAAATTTCTGTTGAAATGACTTTAACAGTGCTAACGATGCAATGACACTTCGTTTCTCATTTACTGACAAATTTTCTCTATTATCACACAAATATTTCTTAACTTTATAAATACTTCTTTTATTTAATTTAATTAATTTTTTACATTCACTTAGACATGGGCCCTCTTCTCTCAATATAATAAGACGATAAGCTTCTTTAGCACAAGTCACAAAAGTTTTAAATCGATTTGATTCCATCTTTTTATTTTAATACAAATTCAACTAGTTAAGTTGATGTCTTAAATATAAATGAGATTTTGGCAATAGTTTTGCACGTCTTTATACTACTTTAAAAAAATGCTTCTTTTTCACACAAAGGACACGTGACTATACGAATTTTTTTCTACTTATACTAACATCATAATTTGAATGTTTTATGAAAAAAGCTATAAAAATTTATTACCCATGACAGAAAATATTTATCAGAATTATTTTCAAACCGAAATTTTCACCAAACATAACACCCTCCCTCTTCTCCTTTCAATCAAGGCAAATATCACGTCTAAACTTTAAAAAAAATGTTGACATCGTAAAATAAACACATGTCACATAAAAATAGGTCATAAAAATTGGTCATAAATTACTGCAACACTCCGCCCCCTCCCAAACAACAGAAACAAGTGTTTCCAAATACACACACATTTTTTTAACATTGACCCCCCCCCCTCCCCATACTCTAAATTTTGACCCATATCCCGAAATCTGACCCCCGCCCCACTCTAAACCACCACCTACAATCAAGGTTCTCATCCCACTTCAAGGCCTTCTCATAGGCCCACACGTGCTCACACAGACACGCACTCACACGTACACACATCTCACACCGACACGCACTAATACCAGTTGGTCCAGAAGCCCCCCTGTATATCTACTATCAAAAACTTAGATTTCAAATAACTAATTATTATAT